GGTCCCCACCTACTTAAATCTCCAATCTCTCCCCTCTCTACATGGTCGCCCCCCCTCTTTGTGCTTCCCATTAATTGCACAATTATTCCCCCTCCCTATTTTGAAATTTAAACTTTAATTTCAAAATAAATCCCTCCAATTTCACATTAAACTGAAAATTATTTCAGTTTTCACAAACCCTAGCCCACCTATGATGCCGCCGGCCCCTATTCTCCCTCTCTCATTGAATGAGCCATAATTCCCCTTTAATTTGAGAATTCAAAATTTAAATCTCAAATATTTTCCCTCTCTAATCCCTTAAACTGAAACTAATTTCAGTTTTTCTAATTAACCCTCACCCTCTCTCCCTATCTCTACCGCCGGCCTCTCCTTCCCCCTCCTAAACCCGCCGACCGCCCTCCTCCCTCTTTTCTTCCCATTGTTGGGTTGCTTGTGGTGATTGCTCGTCTTCAAATCCATGGTGGATGGCGGATCCAGCCGTTGATCACGGGCTCTTCTACGATATCTACGGAGATCTCCACGTCTTAAGATCTCCTTTCTTCGACATGGGATTTGGCTTCGACAATACCGTCGAAGATTACTTGGATCGGATTTTGCCGACACTAGTGGACGCCTTCGACAACCAATTCTCCGACTACACGTGGATCATCGAAATTCATCCGCCCGCTTCTCCAACTCCCGCTTCTTTCCTGGCGATGAGTCCTCTCGGCATCACATGTGTCTTAGTGGTATCGCTAAGTTTTCTTGCGACCCTCTTCCGCTAACCTCCACATCAAAGAGAGATTGACAGACCCCAAGGTGAATGGTCTAAATTTTAAATGTGTGGCTTTAGTAATAGCTTTTTGCATTATTTAGTTATCTTTTTGTTATCTTTTGCAAGACTCTTGTAATCCTCAAGTGTAATCGATGCCTATCGCTTAATCTATCACGAATTTTTCTTGAATCTTACTTGAGTAAGCTATATTTTATTGTTGAAGTTGCAAAGTTAAAGCTTTAACTAATCTCTAAAGTGCAATTCATGTTTCCCCATCAATTACATTAACAAAACAGATTGAGAACAACCGAAGATCTTCCATGACTACAAGCACAAGAGTTAACTAAGTTTCTCATACTAAATCAACATAACCAGAAAAATTAAATGAACAAAACAGATAGAGCAACTGCAAATATAAGAATGTAATTACAAGCAGGCAACACAGTCCCGGTAATAAACCAAGACTTTTTTAGCCCAATTAAATAACCAGCATCAGCGATATAAAAATTAGGTGTATATAAAAGAGACATTTAAGTTAGTACTGGAGTTTTTCTATTGCTCTTAATAGAGTATGGCAAACACATGCCCACAAAAAAACTGTCTTACTACCTTCCTCCAGATAGCATTGTCATAACTAATCAAAAGATAAATATGATCGTAGAGACTGTTAAGATCTGCCCAATTTCAATCACGATGGAACGGAAAAAAATGTACAATACATATAATGTGTCATTGTAGAGATCTATAAGTGTGGTATTTCAAATCTAAGATATAGCATTCTTATTGGTATTAAATTTATCTGAAATCAATTTGCACAATTTTTTTAAAACAAGCTTTGCTCTACACTTTTTTTTTCATAACCTTTCACATTAATTTGATGTTCAAGCCTTATTGGTTCATCTTCTAACCTCCACTTTAAATACCTTAATCAATAAAGTTTATCTTTAATTATTTATCCTGAATATGTGCTACTCAAATAATCCCTTTCATATAACCATTTACTGATCTATTATTCCTAATTTTGTCAAATATCTATCCTACATTACCATATCTACCACACTTAACTTGATTATTAGTAATTTCTTTATCACGGACACTAGGGTCTACAAAACATGGCTAGTTCAATTGCAACATTATAAGGTGTTGCATTATAATTGTTTTGGTTTTGGCTTTGAATAAAATCAAAACACAATAAATGAAACAATTGATATAAATAATTTCTGACTACCAGAAAATTAAAAATCAAAAAAGAAAATATAACAAATCATTTTAGGTATTATGATATATGTGAGATTTTTTTTTTTTTGGTTATCTAAAATATTAAAATAAATACAAAAATAATAATGAAAGTTCTATTCTAATTTTTGTATTTATTTGAATATAATAAATGATAAAATAAATTTTAAAAATATTATAATCTCACATACACCCTAATATCAAAAGTTACATCACATTTAACTGTTGAAGATAACTTTAATTGATACTTGTGGCCTTAGGACCAAATTGAGATTTTTTTTAATAGTTGATAGATTAAATTGGGGCATCATGAAAGTTTGGGGCTAAATTGGACATTTATTAATAGTCGGAGGACTATTTTGAGCTTTTACTACAACAGAGATATAAGAATACTCAACAACAAAGAAGAAGACAAAGGTTGAATGATAAAAATTACGAGTTATGGAAGAAAAATACCTATAATAGATCTTGAACTAGGTGAGTCATACATAAATGCTAGAATTAGGGAATAGGATAAGATTTTTACAGTAACTATAATCATTCATACATCGAAGCAAAGTGGTGTGCCATGAGAAGAAATTACAAGCATACTAATAAATATATTTCATTACAATGAAAGGAAATTTATAGAAGTGACTATGCACACACTCAAAATTATGATAATTTGCTTGCATGCCCATTACATTGGGAAATTACTTACCATTGTAAGAGTAATATCTCACTCTCTCATTCTTAAGACTGTTAACACTATAAAATGGGTTGACTATTAAAACATAATATCCTGCACAGGAGGGTGGACCAACGGACTTTTATTTAAAGATGGTTTATAGTGTTATCCCGGTTGTAGCCTGAAACAGATGATTAATTATGCCAACATGTAGATAGTGATGACTTTTTATCGATTTAATGAAGCCACATGTAATGATAATGGATTAATTGAATATGATAATTAATTAATTGAATAAATGATAATTCATATGATTGATGACCAACTGGAAATCAGTTTGGGTAAAAGATGATGAAAACACCACGTTAAATATGGATGTCCTGTTTTACTAAATCATACATTAATGCATGCATACAATGATAGCCCTGATAACATTGACAAATACATTAATATCATTAATAGTATTGAATGCATTGATAATACATAATAGATGATGCATATGAATAAATAAGATGGATTCTTTTAGTCATTTATGAATGATTTCTACATCATTATTTTTCTGATTTGTCGAATTTTATACCAGTTATTGATTCTTAGATTCATTGTGATGATTCTCTGCATTTATTATTGTTCATTTTGAGTTTTATTGACGATATTTGGTCATTAACTACATTGACTGCTAGTGATTATATTAGACTGAGCATTTCATATTGGTTCTTTAGTCCTTGCGTTGAAAGCCTTAGTGAGTTTTGGATTATTGTTGGGTTTTTAAGCTCATTTTAAGCTCATTATGTGAATCTTAATAATTTCAGGTCAATAAATGGACCAGGACCAGGTGGAGTAAGATTGTCAGGGATCCTCAGATTTTCTTTTAATTTTGTTTGTATTTTTTTATTCTTTAGTAGTCAAGTGCTTGTGATAGAAATAGTAATTGTACTGATCTCCTGGCTATTGTATACTGATTTGAGAGAATGAATATAGTGCAATATTTTGAGATATGCGATTGTTAGTTGCTTTCACTAGATATAGATTTATTATTTTGATGATTTATAGAAGTTTTGATTGATTGATTAAGAAGATAAAATAAATAATTTTACCAAATTTTATTCTGGGGCATCACAACTACCTTGCAAAATAGTCAACTTGAAATGAGACCCAACAAATTGAATTTTGGATAAATATAGAATAATAACACTGAGAAAACCTGAAAGTTGGATGCAACATGTTTTAATAAATATAGCGGTTGCAAATTCAAAACCTATAAACACAATTCGGATGATGAAGATATTTTCCATTCATGCATGTTGAGAGCATAAATGAACATAAAAGACAAAAAACAATCAATGGTGGTAAAAACAAGACATTAATGTTGGGAAAAAATAGTTTGTGAAATTTTATCTTAAGCACAAAATGAAATAAAAGAGAATCGATAACAGTTGCAATAATCAAAGAATTAAAAAAAATGGCAGTTCACATGTTAAATGTACCAAACAGGCAATGCATAAAAGATGACAAACATACCGATCTTTATTGGTATTCATAGCTAATAACTTTGGCTGAGCTGTTGGATCTGGCAACTCATTCCTAAACCTGCATTCAAGAAGAGATGACTTTCCATGGCATGCTTTGCAGAACTCCATAATAACAATTCTGTTAATAAAGTAACACATAATACTCAAAAAAGCTTCTCCACATTGTCAAGCATAATTTATTAGGGATATGCAGAAGTAAATAAGCCACGTAATCACTGCTTTGCTTCACCAGCCCACTGCTACAAAAGAGAAAAATAAAATTTCTTCCCATGTGTCTACCCACGATACAATACAATTCACGCATTACAGCACACTAAGCTCTCTCTCACTCTCTAGCACAGAACAGCACGCAACTCCCTGCCTATAATGAAAACCCTACAATGCATTTTTTTTAAAAAGACAAAAATAACAAAGAATAATTACTTTTTTTCCATCAAAAAGATTGTGTTGTCTTTGACGGAGCTATCTTTTAAGAAGTTGTTTAAGCAAATTTAAAATTATGCTTTATAAATTACAGTTCACATGGAAGTCTCATATGTACTTGACAACAATAATGATTATTTTTATATTTATAATTTATCAATATTTATCAATAGCCATGACCGTTAATGCATTGACTGACCAATTATGATGATAAGAAATTGATGTGGACTACATGAGAATGCGGAACATTCTACCACTAACACTCCTCTCCACTACTATTATAGCTTTATTCTGTTTCTGTTACAAAAGTGCATTTACCTTTTTTTGTGCTTTGCTTGATACTGCAATGCAGTATTGGTTAATATATATATATATATATGAACACAATTGCAATAGGAAGAAGACAGCTGGTAGAGAAATATATTGATACTTTGTATTGTTTTATTGCTCTTTCCAATCAGTTGTCATCTTCCCGTGAGTTTCTACACCATATTGGTATCAGACTAGTGTTCCACACGATGGTGGGGGAAAGTAAATATACTACTCCTGACAAAGATCACAATTTGGAAGCTTTGTGAGCCACTCAAACCAGCATCATGAAGCAGCACGATGAGCTCACTACGGCATTCTTTAGCTTCACGGTGAAGATGCGAAATGAAATACTTCACCTTTAAACAGTGGCGGCTGCTAACTCGGGGTTTGTCCACCTGTCCCAACAACCAAGCCACCGAGAGCACCAATTAGAGTTGAACGAATTCATTGGCAACCCCCAACCATTATTCCTGAATTATCTGACCCTGAGGGTGACTTTAACTATAACCAACGTCGAGAGGTTTCTGATTCTACAGATGAAGAACCATTTTGATATTGTGAAGTATGAAACCATGAGAAACCACGAAGCACAAAACCAAGGGCACAACGAGTCCCGCATGAAGCTAGACATCCCTTTCTTTGATGGCAAATTGTACATCGAAGATTGCTTGGATTGGGAGTGATCAATGGAAACATTTTTGGACAACATGGGAATCCAACAAATAGGTTTTTTTCTGAAAAATAGGTTAAATATGTAACTTGTCGTTTAAAATGGGTGCTAACGCATGGTGGCTACAACTTTTGCAAACTCATCAAAGGGAATGCAAGGGTTCAATGAGGAATTGGTACCGCATGAAACAATTGTTGTGTGGACATTTCACATTTCCTACCAACTGACTTCAAATGTATGTTATACCGACAATATTAGCAATGTTCACATGGATCTCAAACAATAAGTTAGCATACTAAAGAGTTCTACCACCTTTGTGCCTACAACAATCTCAACGAATCTAAGAATCAATTAGTCACGTGTTAATTTTGGCGGACTAAAAGATGTAATTCAAGATACATTATAGCTTAACTTAGTATGGTCATTGTACCAAACAATTAATTTTGCCTTGAAGGTTTCAATTCAATTGTAGCATCACTTATACAACTATTCGATGAGACGGAAAATTGGTGAAGTGGGTACTAATAATGTGAAATCTATTATACTACATTACCAAAACTGCAACAAACCCAAGCCCAACCACCTAATAGCTTACAAATGGATCAAAAGGGACAAAATAAATTAAAAGCCTCCGTGGGGAGAAACCATATATGTAAGGCCAATGACATTGAAGTATTTTCGATGTTTTCAGCCTGGCCACAAATCCGACGAGTGTACAAGTCGACAGCAGTTGCAATTGCTCAATACTAAACAAGCGAGGAACAAGTAGCTGCCAAAGCGGAAGTCGATATAGAAGTGGAAGTTACATGGTGATGATGACGGACCTATAATTTTTGTATTAGAAAATCAATTGTTTTCCCCTCTGCTTCCAGTCAATTGACAATGCAATGATTTATTATGAACTTGTTACACCCATATTGATAGCGGATGTACCGAAAGCATCATCACCCGTGTCGCAATTAATGGTCTACAACATAAGACCACTAAAACCCTCATCCCTATAAGATTAGTTCGGTTAAAAAGGGAATGGAAATTATGGTTGCTAAATGTGTCAAGTTATATTGACAAACATTATGTATGCTAAGTATTTTGTGATGTTTTAGGCATGGATGTGTGCCATTTAATTATGGGTCGACCATGGAAATTCGATAGTGGTGTTGTACATAGATCTAAATCAAACATTTATTCATTTGAATGGAAGAACAAAATAATTCGACTGCTTCCAAATACTCCCATCACCAATCAAAAGAATGACAGTGAAAAGACAACACTACAATAGTGTGCATTGTTTCAAGCGCCACTTTATGACAATCCAAATTGATCAAAACTGCTTTATTGGCTTTGGTAACAGAGGACAACACCGAGGTACCCACGCCTCATACTTTCCATTCTGAAATTCAAAAACTCCTATCAGGCCATTCAAATGTTGCCCTGTCAGACTTGTCACTTACCTTACCTCCGCTTTGTACTTCACAGTACGAAATTGAGTTCATTCCAGGCGCCACTTTACCCAATCTGCCCCACTAAGGCCACTATTTAATGAGTCCTAGAAAGCACTTCATTCTACAAAATATAGTTGATGAATTAATACAAAAACAACTCATCCATCTCAATTTGAATATGTGCACCATCCTGACACTCATTGCTTTAAAAAAAGATGGGCAATGGCAGATGAGTACATATAGCCGTGAGATTAACAAAATTACAGTGAAATATCACTTTTCAGTGCCAAGGTTAAATGATCTTTTAAATAAGCTTATAGCGCCACTATCTTTTCCAAACTAGACTTGAGGAGCAGCTATCATCAAATCCAAATCAAACCTGATAAAGAGCGAAAGAAGACTTTTAAAACTCGAGAAGACCTATATGAATTGAATGTAATGCCCTTTGGTTTATGCAACGCCCCCTACATATTTATGCGTCTTATGAATGAAGTTCTTAAATCCTTTCCTAACAAACTTTGTGCATTTATTTCGATGACATTCTTGTCTATAGTTCCTCTTTTATGGATCACCTTGAATACCTGGCATGTGTTTTTGAAAGCCTTCGTCCTAATAATTTGTTTTTCAATCTATCAAAATGTGGATTTGCTACAAACCTTGTATATTTTCTAGGCTTCCTTTTGTTGTCGGTCAGCATTCACATGGATACACGTAAAACAACAGACATTTGGATTGTCCCACACCGATTTTTATTCGATGTCTATTGTTTTATTGGATTAGTAAATTTATATCATCGATTCGTATTTCGTCAAAGGATTCAATGTATTAATGGCCCCACTTATGGACTATCTGAAGTCCTGCTCCTTCGAATGGACACCAACACAACTGTTCAGTTTTAAAACCATCAAAGATACTCTTATCTCAGCACCTATTCTAGCTCTACCTAACTTTGACAAACTGCTTCAAGTCAATACGGATGCCTCAGCTATAGGCGCTATTCTGGCCCAAAATGACCGACCCATTGAGTTTTTCGGTGAGAAAATGAGCTTGGTGTGAAAAAAATGATCAGCTTACAAACAAGAGTTATATGCGGTAATTAACGCACTTAAATAATGGGAGCACTACTTGCTTTACTAAGATTTTATATTATGTAGTGATAATCAAGCACTCTAATACATTAATAAGCAAAAAAACATCAACCGCATGCATGCAAGATGGATTATTTTCCTACAAAAAATCCAACTTTGTATTGAAACAAAAGGTAGGCAAGCAAAATTGCGCCACGGATGCCCTCAACCGGCGTGCAACAATGCTAACACAACTACAAAAAGAAATTACGTTCTTGCAAGACTTGCAAGAACTATATGCAATTGATCTTGATTATGCTGATTCTTGTGCTAACTGCACTGCAGGTAATCCCACCAACAATTTCAACCTAGAGCCTACGACATGGCTTCATGTTTAAAGGTAATAGCCTATGCATACCAAATTCCTCTTAGTGGTAACTAAACAGCAGTGATCATATAATCTAAAGAAATCATGTTAATACATCAGCAAAGTATGGGAAGATGGTTCAGAGCCCGAAACATGCTGAATTCCAAATGAAGCTATTTCAGAGTTCTTATCAAATAGCTACAAGAACAGATTGGAGCTTACTTCATCTTGCATATGAAAGTCGTCGGCTTTTTCAGCCTGTTCTCAACCCTATCTCCAGTCAGGAACGGAGTAGTCCTCCTATCACCCATCCTCGATCCCACCATTGACTCATGCGGCCTACCACTAGCTCGAGCACCACCGGTAGTAGCCGCCAATATTTGAGTCTTCTGCAATACCTTTGCCTGTGACTGCTTCAGCATCAGCTGCCTCCTCTCCTCCTGCCTCTGCTTCTCATACTCCCTCCTCTTCCTTGCGCTCCTCTCTTCCTCCGTCTCCACCCTTCCAGGCCCGGGTAAAAGAACCTTTCCTGGATGCGGTGGATGGGGCTTCTGATGTCTAAAAGAATTGTGGGCAGGAACAGGGGCAGTGGAGGGTACAGGGGCTGAGGACTTCCGAGGGAGCTCCGGATGGGTGGGAGGCGGTGGTGGAGGGGGAGGGGAGGCTGGCGGGGGAGGTGGAGGAGGAAAGGAGGAACTGTGGATTGGAGGAGACGAAGGTGGAGGAGGGGGAGGAGGAGGTGGTTGAGGGGGAGGATTATAGTAGGAGTACTGTGAAGAAGGGTAATACGGGGGATGAGGAAGTTGCCCAGGCTGTGGGAGCGGCGGAGGAGGGAAGGAGGAAGATGATAGAGACTGCCCTGTGATGGACGGCGGCTGAGGCGGAGGATAGGCATACTGCTGCTGGTTATGCTGCTGTCCGGCGGAAGGATTGCCGAATTGGTAAGGCGGAGCCGCTGCGCTGTAAACGGAGGCGGGGAATCCCCCATGCTGAGGGTACGGATGGCCAGCTCCAGAGACAACGGGAGGGTGGAGAGGGCGAGGAGGGATAGGGGCTTGGTTTGGAGCCGGAGGAGAGACGAAGGACGACGACGGAGGGGGATGTGGGAACGGTCGGAAGGACGCCATGGCCGGCGATCGAAACCAACCCACGCAGTCCGTAGCCTGATCAGGAGAGCAGGAGAAGCCTGCCGGGGACGGAGGATCGATCTAAACAGATGATCGGAGACGGGGAGATCAGGGTTAGGCGCGAGAGGAGGGACAATGTCGGGATTTTGAAGAGTATTTCTTTTACTTATTTAATATTTTTGTTATTACCATATATCATGAAGTCTTAGACAGTCTTAAATCATATAAGCTTAAATAAATACCGACTATACCGGCATCTATGTTACGTCTATTTCTATTGAAATTTTTATTTAACATTAAAAAACCATCTCACTGTAAATGATTCATAATTCACATATTTGAAAAAATATATATTCTCATCATATTTTTGTTGGGTTAAATCATTTTGAACGAAAATACTTCTAAACATGTCTTTTGAATCATAGAAAAACGTTTCTAGCTCCTTCATAAACATTCTTATATTTTCTCCTACAGCTATTATGATTTCTTAGTTTTTTCTCATAATATTTCTTAATTAGAATTCCATGATCATGGGCTTGTTGGATTTGTCTCGTCGAGCCGCTCGATTCTACCATAAACATGTCACGTTTGGAAACCGTTTATCCAAATTGTGGGTTAAACCTTCCTACAGCGCTTTGGGTCCTTGATTTGGACCCATTTGGGCTCGGATTGAGTCGAATTTGATGTTTCCGAGATGTTTTGTTTGACTATAAGTTTGCTAAAATCAGAGTTCAGATGGTCCCAATTTTAATTTTGAAAGTTTCCATCTTGATTTTGCCTCAAGATTTGTGTCCGATCAAGATATTTTTTTATGATGCATCAATAACATTACACATATGGATAAAAACTAATTTAATTTGAACTTTGAGATGTTGTATCATTTTGCTAAATCATAATTTGTTTAGACATTTGTATATATTTATGTGTTATTGGGTTATATTATATGCCCTTGATTTAAAGATATAAGTCCTTTCTTCTCTCTCTCCCTCTTTCCCTCCCTCTATCCTTATGTTGTGTATATATTTCTTTAAGTTTATAATCATCATGAAGAATCATTTTGCTGTAATCACTTAGTTTTATTTGGTATCAAAGCAAATTTCATTTCTTTCTGGATGATGGTTCATATGCCAATAAAAGTTTCAAAGCAAAAAAATTTTATGGCCATCTCCTTAAATATTTTCTTCATCATCTTATTAATTCTCCCCTTCAAATTTTAACCACCACCGCCACTTTTTTTTTTCTACAAATTGTTTTTTGTTATAAAATATTTAGTCTGAAATGTTTATATTTTCATTTCAAAACATTCAAATTTTCCAAAAAAATTAAAAACTTTGCACTTCTTACTTTATTAAAATTTTGGACGATTCTTGATTTGTTTAACTTCACTTTATCTACTAAGATTTTAAATTTTACAGTCAATTTTCTTTTTGTTTTATAATGCAATTTTACTGATATGTTAGTAAAATTATATGCATTAAATGCTAAAGCTTCACATATTGAATCACAAGACATCCTCATATTTAAACTCTATTAACTTGTAATGCTAAAGTTTCTCTCTCTCTTTCTCTCTCCTCTCTCTCTCTCTCTCCCCCCCCCCCCTACTAACAAAAGAAGCAATATGTAATGATTGAGTTCCTATATTAACTTTTGTTCAATCCTTCCAAAATTGCTTTAATTACATCTTTCTTTATTTTGAAAGTTTTACCTCCCTAGAGAGGAGCATCTGCTCCTCTTGCTTTTGCGAACCAAGAGCCGAGAGGCCAAGAGAAGGGCTCCGGCCTCTTGATCTCTGGAACGAACTTTAAGTATAGAGAGCGAGGGAGAGGGTCGGCCGCACGAGAGAAAAAGAGGAGAGTGGAGCCACTTGCGGCTAGGGCTTCCTCGGGCCAAAAAAGGGACCAGAGAGCTACCCCGGGAGGATATGTGAATGCCCCTAGCCTAAAACATGACTCGTGCAATTTGATTAAATAAAATGAAACCCCAAATTGAAATTGATTTAGGTCAAATTTGACTCGTCGCGGCCAACTGCGGAGCCGTTCGGGGTCCAGCAAAATCTTAAGTCGAGCGCGTCAAAAGCGTAGGTAAAGCGCAGGCAAAGCGCACCCAAAGTGCACCGCGGGCAAATGAGTCAAAATGCCTCATGCGAAGGCAAAGCGCACAGAAAGCGCATGGAAAGCGCACCAAAAGCGCACGGAAAGCGCATGAAAAGCGCACAGAGAGTGCACCATGGCTAATGTAACTCAATTCAGCTCAATTGAATGCATTCGAGGGCACTCGAACAAAAATCGAGGTCAACAGCTCGCTCGCTCAACTCTAACGCGATGCGCCTGCACTCAAACTGGGAATATCTAGGTTAGCGGGTCAGGTCGGGTCAACTCGGTAGCCCGACTGGTCTAAAGTTTCGAGCCGTTTATAAAACCGGGTTAGGTTAGGGTCAACCGGTTTAAATCCTGGTCAATCCAAGTTTGGCCCCAACTCGACCCACAAACCCCTAGTAAGAGGTGAGACAACGACGAGGAAGTTTCAAAGTAACGACGAAGAAGAACGGCGAGGAACTTTGGATGCGACAAGACGGAACATCGTTGAAGGAGGCAACATGAAGTAACATTGTCGAAGGTGGTAAGCAACTCGCACTGAGAGGGGAGATGGCGGATGCGAATACGAAGAATGGCGAGGAAGTGTGACTTCAGATGTGTGCAATAGGAAGGAACATCATCGAAGGAGGCGATGCCAAGGGAACTTCGTTAAAGGAGCCAAGAAATGTCATGGACGCGATCCAAAATAGAATGAGCGAATGAAAGAAAGGACCAGTAAGCCGATTTAGATAGGGTTGTTTGCGTCGGATTTGTGATGAATTTGATGCAGATTTCTTGAAGCAAATCTATCACAAAAAATTCTATGACCACTCCCTTCGCAATTTCAGAGGAAAAAATTCATCACAAAATCAGCCGCGAATTACTTACTTCTTTGTAGTGAGTGTTGTGTGCTCATAATCTATCCTAATTTGACTAGAAATTAGAATATCATGTGCCGGTTTAGATTGGGTTGTTTGCATCAGATTTGTGATGAATTTGCGGCGGATTTTCGATGGCAATTCCGTCACAAAAAATATTGACGCCAACTTCCATCGCAGAATCGTCGCAATTTTAGAGGAAAAAATATTCGTCGCATAATCCGTCGCAAATTGCTGACTTTTCCATAATGAGTTTTGGTCGTAATCTATCCTAATTTTTTATTTTTTTTTCTTCTCTTTTCGTATTTAGATTTGATGGTATATGCTCTTAAGATTGATCTTAGAGAACATTTCAGTGCTACTCACTCTAATATGTAATCCTATTAAGATTATTTTATTGATACACATAAAATTCACCTTAGGTGAATGTTGGGCATCAAAAATATTATTTAAAATACAAAATAAAAATGAAACATTAAACTCTTAAAAAGTGTAAATAAAAGTTATAAATAATTAAAGAATTAAACTGTAATCATCCATGGATTAAATTGAATAATATAAATTAAAAGTAAAATACAATGAATAAATTATAAAGTGACACCCTCATAGCTTAGCATACACCATGCTATTTTAGAGCACCAATCTTACCTTCTAGGGCAAACTGCTTCTTTCTTGCTTTTTATTTCGTGCATTCAAACTTTCTAACGGGTTGTTTGGTAGGGGAAATTATTCTGTGTGGTCATCGGACTGTCCGGAGGTGAATTAGAGCGCACCATGTCACCTGGTACATTACAGGTACACAACAAATGGGTGATGTGGCGCGCTCTGATTCGCCTGTGGACAGTGGCGGATCCAGCCCTTTTTTTTAGGATGGGCAAACTCGATATATATAAAAATATAAATACAAAAAATATAAATATATTTCACTAACAAAATTCAAAACAAAACATTATATTTCATCATAATTTTTGAAATTAAAAAGAAAATTACAGACTTTGCATTCTACTTTGCATTTTCTGATAATGTTGCATAATAACTTCATTCAGAACAGAATCAAATACTTCTTTTTCAATATATGACACTAGACAGTCATTAAGTCAGGCATCACCCATTTTGCTTTGAAGTCGATGCTTAATGATCTTTATTGCAGAAAATGCTCTCTCCACCGTAGCAGTAGCAACTGGTAACGTCAATACAAAAACAATAAATTTATAAACTAGTGGATACACAACATTTTTTTTATTCTTTACCATCTGTTTTACTAGAGCAGCAATGCTAGTTAAAGAAGTAAACTCCTCGCTAGTACGCATATCAACAATATAAGTTGGTAGTTGATGCTCAAGAGACACAAGATCAATCATAGAGAAATCTGTTGGATATAATTCTGCAAGACGAATTAATTTTCCCTTATCATAAGCAGAAAACATATTACTCGGATTTAGACATATCACACAAAGAAGTAACTCGGTGCTGCTTTCTGAGAATCGATTATTCAATTCCTGAAGTTGCATATCAATAACCGCGTAGAACAAATCTACTCGATAATGATGAAAGTTTGTAATTTCTTCACATTTTCTAACAGATCGTCCACGAGCCTTGAATTTAGAATCCATATTTGGAACTTCAATTTCAAAAACGTTGCAAAAGCGTGACACTTCTTCAAGCAAAGGCACCCATTCATTTTCCCTCATCATTTGCAATCGTTGTTTGGACACTTGTACCAATTTCATTGCATTTATAATATCTTGATCCTTTCTTTGTAATGCTTGAGATAATTCATTTGTAATCCCTAAAATGTTAATCATCAAATGCAATGTCAAGACAAAGTCAAAAGATTCCATGGCATTTATTAAAACACCAACTTCAACTGATTGTTGATTATGTATACCCTCTTCTTTCACAATTTCTAGTACTTCAAGTACAGAAGCATACATTTTTGTAAGACTGATTAATGTTTGAAAAATGCGAATTCCAGCGGGTGTCACCAGCACGATGCAAATTGGTTTCTTGGTTCAAACCTCTACCAGCATCTAACTCTCCACTGCTTAAATGAAAAAGTATTTTATCACGCTGAATACTTTTTAGTGTATCATTCCTCTTGCATGAAGCTCCAACAGTGTTTACAATTCTTGAAGTCATCTCAAATAAATGTTTTACTTCGTAGAACAAATCTACTCGATAATGATGATTTGCAAGAAACTGAAATAATTCTACATAATTCCCTTGATTATTGGAGCTAGAAGATTCATCATGTCCACGAAATGATAGGCCTTGGCGAATAAGAAATCGAACACAATCAACAGCTGCAGTTAGCATATTGCGATATTCTTTTTTTTTTTATTCTCTTCTTTGCACAACCATAAAGCGGGAATACTATGCTCTTGATGCTTCATTAAAGCCTCACATTTATGTCTTGCCTTGTTGTGTGCACTGTTGTGATCTCCAACATGACTTAAAAGCTTCTCTTTTCTCTTCCAATTCTTAAATCCCTCACCAACAAATGTATCTCCACCGCCTTTGCTAGTATTAACTTGCTCTTGAGGTTTAAACAAATAGCAATAAAGGCAAAATACTGCATCTTTCTGAATATTATATTCCATCCAATCAGGAAAGTCTTCAAACCATTTTGAATTAAATCTACGTGCAATGTTCCCTATTGTTGTTTGAGGGAATTGATGATTTTTGGGTTGATGCGGTCCCTTCAATAAATAAGTTCTTCGAACTCTATCACGATCATTTACAACATAACTCTAGATGGATGGTCGAAGACCAGGATCAGCAGGTAGCTTGTCAATATCAATCTCGACACGTTCTTTTCGCTTCAAGAATCTTTCCATTTCTCAAAAGGCTAACAATGAGCAATCCAAATTAGCTAACATTGTTACTCTAATAAAAAAAAAGACAATACAAAATTAATATAGAATTTGACAAATTTATTCACATTATAATTGAGACACAAACTCAAATCTTTCTCAATTTTATTTGTTTAATACCTAATTTTTCTATAGTTAAAGCTCAGAAATTGTTACATAAATTTCAATCTACTTAAGTTTCTCTATGTTTAAAACTACATAAATTTCAGAAATTCTCTATGCTTAAAGCTACAGAAATTTCAGAAATTGTCCATTGTAAAAGCTACAGAAATTGTTAACGAAACTCAAATCATAGTGTTTGGCTTTTTACTTGTTTGCTACAAAAATTATTAAAAGCTACAGAAATTTCAATCTACTCACTGCTCAGATCATAAACCTAGAAAAAGAATACTTAAGAAATGTCTTCAAACATTCAAACCTCAAGCAAAAAAAAAAAAAAAAAAGCTAATATTCCAAAACAAGCACAAATTGTGATCAGAGAATCCTTAAATTGTTGAATAAACAAGTCTAAACAAATCAAGGAAAAAAACGTGTTAAACTTTGAGCAGAAATTAACGAGCAGAAATTAAACTTACCTTCAGCGATTTGAGAACTCGGAACTGCCGAACTGGCCGGGAAGAGAGGCCAGCGGGCGGGCCAGCGGCTACGATGGCTTCGTGAGGACCTTGCGAACAGGGAACAGACGCAAAACAGGGCTCCGGCCGTCCGGCGTCCGGCGAACTCTTCAAGAAGGCAAGGCGGGCTGCGGTGCTTCGTGAGGTCCTTGCGAACAGCAGAACAGTGATTGGGCAAACATGTCCCGCTGTTTTAATTTAGGGCAAAAATAATTTTGTGAGGGGGGGGCAAAATACCGAAATAGCCCCTCCACTATAATATATATATATTTTTTTAGGGTGGAATGCCAACCCTTAGCATAACTGGGGTCCGCCCATGCCTGTGGACGGTGTTCGTATTCGCATAGAATAATTTTACGTTTGGTAGATAGTGTTTTGGATGCAAAACAAATATACGAGTTTTACAATTTAGATATTTACATGGTTGCATTCACATACAAAATAGAGTTTGAGTAAATTTAGAAGTCATCTGGTTAATTTTTTTATGTATTTGGATTTCATTAGATTTGAGTAAATTTTAAATGCATAGCTTGTGCAAAGTGAAACCAATCATTGCAGTCGTCCATCGTCCACCACTATTGTCACTCACCACCATCTCCTGAGGCCAACTATTATCAGCTAACTCGCCCACTGTCGCACCATCGATTACCATTGTCGGATGTCGCCTCCCACCTCAACTACCCACCGCTGGTCAGTGTTGACAACCATCAGCCACTATTGAAAACCTCTAAACTATTATTTTGAAGCCATTGCTATTTTATTTTGCATTTTCTTACTTCAAACCAAATAAAATTAATGAACAATTAATTTTATGCTTTGTATTTCAGTACATTAGAATGTGCTAAGTTAATAGTTTCAAAACTCGAACTATAGTAAAAAAAAAAAATCTTAATTATGAGATTTAAATTAAAACTAGACTTCAAACATAATTAGGTCAAAACTTGACAAAAACTCAAATTGATTGATGTTCAAAACTTCTCTGATTTACAACTCGTTTTACAACTGAAAATCAAAATAGCTGTGATACATAGAATATGTATGATTGATTCTACTAAAGCTTATTTTCTGAGTTAGATTGTTTAGAATCAAAACTCGTTTTATAAAATAGAAAATCCAATAAAATAAACTAGAAATAATATTAATTTAAATAAAATAAGAAAGGATAAAATAAAATAAAACTATGTATTAGCTAAAAACAAGTATAACCTTTCATGGTAAAAAAAAAAAAAAAGTCTAACCTTTCATAGTATGATTATTTAACTTCAGTGGCTAAATTGTAAGCCATAATTTCTTAAGTAATAACAAATTAATCTATCTTATAATGCATATAGACTTTGATTATTATTTTGAAGTGATTTGATGGATTAGCTTGTAGTCATTCTCAAACACGACTGTAAGTACAAAAGAGCCATGCTTTTTTTAAGTTCTTAGCTCTTAGTGGGGTGAAGGTTGTAAAACTGGTTGCTTTTCTTACATTTCAATTTAAGTAATTACTTAGTAATGTTCAATTTAGTTTTATGATTTGAGGCAACTGTTTTCTCATTTGCTATGTTGTAGGTCCTCACTTCAGAGAAATTATTCTGCGTGGACTCCGAACGCAGAAGACCGTTCGAATTTCCTGCGCTTTTTTAGATATGAAGTAAATACTCAACAAATCCTCAGTTGTGAGTATTTGATGAATATTTAGTGAGTTCTTATTGAGTATTTGTTGAATTTTGCTGCAAATACGCAGCAATCCGGGTGGTACTCTGTGTTCAGAGTCCGCACAGAATAATTTCCCCCTCGCTTCATGAATTTTTTTCTTAATTTTGTGTTGAAAATTTTTAAATTTCAAATTTTAATGAAATAAATAATTTAAACATTGAAGTCAAATTTAAAAAAAAATTGAAAGTCCAATATATAATAAATTTGAGTACTTTTGAATTAATTAGCATCTATTGCTCCCTTCTTTTTATCCTTATGTTCTTAAAAAGATCTGTTTTTAGTTGAAAATTTTTCCTTAAACTTTGAAATTGATTTTATCTTCACACATAATGCATGTACATCTTATTATTATTATTTTTTTTTTTGGGAAAATTTGGGCTTAGCCCGTATATTGAATTAACTCAAAAATACATGTGTGATCAAAATGTCCCAGTACAAAATTAAGGGGGGGGATTGCTCAACCAGAGCACAAAAATTAGCTAAAAAAAAGACGAAGCCGAGCAGCAAAAGAAGAAAAATGAATACGAAAAAGCTCCAATACTTCAATAAGCCTGGACTCAGGGAAATAAGATAATAATCATCGTGAAACTCCGACCCTTGGTTGCCCAAAGGCCGTCCAGAAGGGGAGCCTGCTTGGAGCCTCATCATCGTCCAAGGCGTAGTAAAAAGCAGGCAAATCCGACAAATATCGAGAGGAGCATAGCAGTCAATCTGTATTCTAAGGGACAGAGCGGGAAACGTAGCTGGGAAGCAGCTAACCAAAAACAAAAATAGATATACTCCTGCAAACACGCCAACTAAAGCAGATTCAAGTATTTGGATGGATTTTGCCACTTCATAACTTTCTCAAAGACAGCTTTTTTAATAATATGAGAAGTGGTAATGCTGCAGTTGTAATTTCTCCCAAATCTTCTATTATTCTTCTCTTTTCAGATATAGTATATGCACCAGCAAGCGAGAAGAGAAAATAACTTTTTGACCGACTGATTGTTGCTATTATCGACCTCAATCCATTCAAGAAGCTGCAATATATTAGGCCTTAGGAGGAGGTGTTTTGATTTGGGCATGAGATTGAGAAGGATATCATATGAATAAGAACACTCAAAAAATAAATGCGTAACATTTTCATGATTCACATGACAAAGACTATAAGTAGAAGAACAGAAATGTTCCTTTTAAGTAGAGCTTCCGCAGTTTTCAAGCATAATGTTTTGTCCATTATAATATTTAATTTTTAAATATTGTTGAATAAATTATTAATATTTAATCTTAAACCTAGCTTTCCAGTATACTCTCTGCCCTGGGCGGGAGAGAACTTCGAGTTCTAGAGAATGCGATGCGAGAAGGATGATGAGCTTGAAATACCCAAATCTAGCAGGCCTTGGCGATTCACTTGGGAAAGCCTAGCTCACATCCCCATACTCCGCCTCTATCTCTTCAGCCCGGATGTCGGCGATATCTCAGCCCTGTGCCGCTTTGTCGAGGCCTCGCTCAGACTCGATCGCTCCCTCCTCCTTGTCTCTTGGCATATCGGCGACGAAGGAGCCGTAAGCAACGGGAGATCATTCATTTGGATTCCGGTTCCTAGAGTTCTCATTAATCCGGAATGCTCCGTCGACGTCAAGGCGATGGCGGACCACATCGAGGTAAAGCTTGTTCTCCTTCTTCCAGTGGATCATCCCGTGGAGTCAGAGATATGGGGCTCTCCTGGGATGGACCCAGATAGGTGCCTACCTCTTTCTCTTGGTTCTGGTGAGGTGGCTTCTTTTGATTTTGCTGCTTATTTGCTTTGCCTGCGATCTTATTCAGCTGATAATACAGTTGCAGTTTTTACTGATTTGTTTGGGGCGGCTGCAGCCGTCTATAAAGTTGATTATAAAACTGTTATTGTAAAATATATTGTTTTAATTGAATATGTGTTCTCTTTAAGGTAAAGACAATAGCATTATAAAATTTCGGTTAAAGAAATCATTGACCTCAATTGCATCGCTAGAGCACACAATGATGAGCTTGGTTACATAAAACTGTTATAAAAACAAAATTTTGAAACACAATAAACAAGTGTTGTTCAAATGCTACCGTGGTTGTAGTTTGAAAAGCAAGGCTAACAACCACGCAGATTCAAAGCTTGTTTAGCATGATTGTCATTTGAGTTTTTGTGAGTACAATTTTTTTCTTACATGTTGTAACACCTTTGTTAGGATGAGAGGCTATGAAATTAGAAGTTGTATTCTTTTACATGTACATATGGTGCTTTCATAGGCATCTAACAAGTTCAGACTAAAGAACCTGAACTTAGCAAGTCCTAGCAATAAGAGCTCGACAAAAAATGATCACCTTCTCTTCTACTGGCACTCGCTAGCCAAGGGATGTGTGACTCATCAGGGTCAGACAAGTCAAAGAGTGGTCACCAGTAGGATCTGTAACAAACTTGTACATACCCATTCAAACTCTTAAAAGCTTTTCTCTTCAATGTGAGACATCCCCCCTAAAGGTATTGTCCCTCTCTCAAATTGACAAGTCACTATCAACATTTCAACACAACCACAGGGAAGGAGTATCTCATGAGGTCAATGATCCGATCCTTCATGATCTGAAGGAAATTGCCCTTCATATTTAATGGATTGATAATTGTGCATATAAATTCATTGGCATGCCCGGAGGATGTAACATGCCAACTCACCAATTTGCTTAGAAGACTCACCTTACTTACTTGCCTTGAGATCGAGGATTGAGTCGAGGAAGAAGAGCCATATAGGTGCTTATCAGGCCATGATATGTGTCAAGCATTGTCCACAATGCGCTATAATTAATGATGTATTTTTTTTTAATAAAATTTTTGATGTAGTTTTCTCTGTAGCCCTTGGATTCCTATAATTAAAGGCCGAAAGAGACACATTTTGGATCTATTTAGAACATTATTGATCTATTAGAGTAATTTTGAATTTTTTTAGTCTTTTCCTAGATTTTCTGAATCATTTACCTTTTTTTTTTTCACAATCACTCTACGTTATTAGGTTATTGCTCTTGTGTTACTTGCTATTAAGGTCGGGTGTCATATACATACATATTTGGATCCAACATCCTAAAAGGTCTAGTAAGTGTGGATTGATGCTAGTCATAGTTTAAAATTGCACCATAAGTGGTTCCTTTTCTTACCTTCCCCCACGACAGTAGTGGGCTCAACCATCAATGGCGCTGCAACAACCATAGTGGATGCCATCTCCTTAACGATAATTGTCTCTGTTGGGCGCGCAACAAAAGATCACTTAGCCAACCTAGCGATCAATGGAACATCATCAGAGCTTGAGGAGAGCACCACCCTCCTCGGATCTTTAGGAGCTGGTACTTTAGTAGCCGCTTCCTTCATGGTCGCCGTTTCAATTGCAGGTGCAAAAGTCGGCGAAGCCACGCCACACTTCACTTTTAGCACCTTCATGGGGGTAGGAAAAACCAACTCTGATTGCCTCAGAACCATGACAAGACTCACCTCAATGATCCCCACTTTACTCAGTGTGGACTTCGAGCATTTTCTGCTTCTTCATGCTCCTTGAACTTGCAAATGGTTGCCCTCCTCACTCGCATAAAAGTGGACATCGCTAACTTGATGGGGTTCATCTCCACTTTTTGAAACAAGTTCAAAATTCATAAAGGGTAGAGAACTCTCATTTCTCAAGCTGGTGCTCATAGAAGGGAGAAGTGAGTACCATCACATGATAATCATGATGATGGATCTATACGACTCTCGAGACTACAGTAACGACAGGGCAATCACTTGTACTTATTTTTCTTTTTACTCTTTGATAGTTATAATAAGCGCTATCATTGCCAGGTCCAAAGCTCTGGATGAGAAAAGTGGAGGGTTGTGTTAGGTGGTCGTCATCTAGTGTATAACTTGTCGAATAATCATGACATATTGTTGTTGTTTGGTAGTCATAAAAAAAGCTTTTCATTAGTTCTCTTTTCTTTTTCTCAACTCACCCTTCAAAGGGACAAGTGAATTGAGAAACTAATATATACTCCTACATGTCCCTATGGGGGTGTTTTAGGCGCTCAAGGGTTGATCCTTTGGACTTTTCCAATTCTCACCTCGTCATTATTAGATTCGAAGGAATTCGCTCTTTGAATTTAACGGCAGGGAATTGTACATATAGACCTACCGACATGCTAGAAGACTTACCATACCAACTCACTAGCTCACCCAAAAGATTTGCCTTGAGATCGAGTACTGAGCTGAAGACAAAGAGCTCCATGGGCGCCTTTCAAGCCATGATATATGTCATATATGGTCCATAAATAATGTGCTTATTTACCTTTGTTTTATGTAGCTTTCCCAGTTTCCCTGTATTTCTAAGATAGCCCTATAAATAAAAGGTGAAGAGGCTCATCTTGGATTGTTTTGGGAACATTATTGATCTCTTAAAGCATTTTTATAATCTCCTTAGTTTTTTTCTTAGATTCTCTGAATACTCTGCTTTCTAAACCCTAAACACTCTAAGTTTGCAGGTTCTTGTCCTTTGAAACATTTGTATTCAACAGAAGTTATGATTTTTAAAATATTTTGGGTCTACTTTATTGACTATATAAACTTATTGAAACCTTTTTGCCTTGAGGAAATGATCTGTTCTATGATAGACTGCGTGAGGCATTTGTTTAATTAAAGAGGTTGGAAATAGAAGAGACAATTAATAATTTTATTGCATATGCAGATGTTTATCGGATAAAATTGGAAACTCTGGATAATATTTTTTTTTGTGTATTCACAGAGGGAGTAGTATAAAAAATTTCGTAAAATCGACATTTATAAAAAACTGTTTAGCTGCTGTGTTGATGTCCAAGACAAGCGATCTTTCATCATTCATGGTTTCCTTATGCTTCGCTGTTTGCATACCTTTCATTGCCGTGCTTGTAGTTGATTATGTGAAGGTACGTTACATTGCATCATTTGTTACTGTGGATGATCTTACAATCAACTATAACAATTAAAAATAATTGGTGTCCAAGTTAGAATCTAAATGCGAATCATTGAGAAGAATTGTTGATTAAGAACTCTCAAAGGATCTATCTCGAAATAGCTATGTTGAATTTGAGGTCTTTTTACTAATATTGTGACGTTATTTGATATTAAGAGAGATTTTTAAGAATGGCTACTAAAATTGTTTAACAGATAATTAACTGCGGTTATATACTTAAGTAGTCATGATTGTAATTCTGGCTTCTAGAAGTGTATTTTTCTAATTGAATGCAATAAGTTCACCACTTTTGCATGCATAATCTGAAATAAATTTACATGTTCCAAGATCATGCTTTTAATTGACTACATCAGTTATTGATTTAATATTCTATCACTTTTCTTAGGTTTGAGATATTTCTTTTTTTTAACTATACAGTTTATTACCAGTAGTTGTGGTAAGTGAATAACTTTCTAAATATCTTGAATGGCTTGACAACTAGGAATTTACGAGTTGTAGACATTCAACTTATATTCCATAATCTTAGCAAAAGTTGACTGACATGTTAAGCAGAACATTTCTTATTGCATTATTTATGAAAACTTTTAAATGGAAACCGCCAAGGCACTCATTTGGTTAGATAAAACTGAAAAATTGAAGACATTACTCAGCCATTTGGTTTTGGTTCTTATATTGCTAGTTCATCTAGCAGGTTTTGTTTTTCCACTATTCGATTTTATTTTATTTTTTTTAGCTTGGTTCATGTTTTGTTACAATTTAGTTCATGGGTTGAATGGATATTAAAATATTTTTTATTATTCTATAATATAATTATACAATTAATTCATTGACTTAATTACATCCAAGTTACACTTTTTAAAATGGTATATCATGGAGAGAGTTCGACAATACCAAGTTCACAAACCCAAGATTCATGCCACAAGTCAATGCAGCAATTACCATATATGATATGATTTCTTCAATTAAACAATTTTTTTTTCTAAATAAAAAAAGAATGAGTTACTAATGCCTATATATGGGATCATTTTTTTAAATTTGTCATTTTTTCTAATTTCTAAAATAATGATGATGAAAAAAAGAACAATTGAGTGTCAGAAGGAGATAAATCATAATAATCCCTAGATAAACGGTACTAGTAAATCACCTACTCATCTCTATTTGTCAAAAGAATCCTTATAAGACTGATTGCCAAGCTCAATAGCGTAGCCCAAACTCTATTTAAAACCAAATTTGGATACATGCATATCATGCATGCACGGTATAAGATAAGGTTGTAGTATAGATATATATTCTATAGTTGAACATGGTGAAGTTGATGTTCGTATTCTATGTATCAAGGAATCTTAAAAATGGCCCCTAAAACTCTTTAAAAAAAAGTATCAAGGAATCTTATATTTGCATTTGTGGAAAAGATCATATAGCATTGGTTTAAATATGTTAATTATTGAAACTTCCATCTTGAAAGGCTTAAGCATTTAAAATCAGCAAAGTAAGATTCTAATCAACCATTTGTCAACTCGTGTGATATTTAAGTGTTAAAACTAGGAATTTGAGAAGAAAAGTCTTACTTTATTGCATAAATTCTTCCCTATATATAGATCTATACAAGATATTTAATAAGGAAACAAATAACTACATAATAATGAAATATAACTCTTCCAAAAATCGGCTGCCCATCTATGGAAGGTGTTTCAACTTGATTCATGAGAGCTTCCCACGGATTGCTCTTTGTGACCGTCGGATCCTTTGCACGAGGAACGGCTATATTCTAACACTCCTCCTCAAGCTAGTAATACAAATATGTCATTCCCAGCTTAGTAATTAATCACACAAAGTAGAGTTATCAAGTTCCTTGGTGCACCATAGAGTCCTCTATTTTGGTCAAAACTTTGGGGTAAATTAGCTTTAGATATTGTGACAGCGGCAAATGATAGCGATGAAAGCTATATCAAGCAGGGCAATAATGAAGGCTGCATTGGTTATAGATAGGATAGCAACCACAAGAGAAAGACAGCAATGAATGCGGTTGAAGGGAACCTAACCTCAAAGTTCCGACAATGAAGGTCGGTGGTGAGAATTTGTATTCCCCAGGTTTCCAGCGATGAAGGATGTATTGTGATATAGTAGCAATAAAGGCTGATTTGATCATGTCAGCAATAAAGGCTGATTTGCTTGTATCAACAATAAAGGCTGATTTGGTTATATCAACAATAAAGGCTGATAGTGGGAACTTTGTACAGTTCTTCCAGGTGGTCCAGCTATCTCCTTAGCACGTCCAATCATCTTCCCCAATTTCTGGTCCTGTGATTGCAAGTGAAGAGGATGCATTTGATTTTTCAAGAGATATCAGGAGTCGTCTCAATTTATCAATATCTTCTTTATTAAATTCTCCAAGACTGGATTGTGCTTCTGGGTTGGGCTGACTTGTTTCAGCTCTTTGATTCCACTCCTTATTGGGGGGTTTTCCATGTATCTTCCAGCAATTTTCCTTTGTGTGTCTTAATTTCTTGCAATAACTGCACCAAAGTGAGTCTTTGTCTTTGAATTTTGAGAAATCTTTACCTTTCTCCTTCCACGATTCTTTGCTCATCACCATTGCTGAACTTTTAACGACCTTTGGTTCTAACATCACTCCTCGTCGGCTTTCTTCCGCGTGGATGAGAGAAATGGTTTCATTGAGTGATGGCGTCTCCTCTTTGCCAATGATCTTAACTCTAACTTGGTCAAATTTTGCATTTAGTCATGCAAGAAAATCATAAACTCTATCTTTTTCAATAAAGTTCTTTAGGATTGCGGCATCTTCTGGAAATCTGGTTTCTATGCTTCTATAGTGATCAAGTTCTTACCACTGATTTTGTAGAATGGTGGCATACTCCGTCACGGTCTTACTCCATTGCTTTGTGCTTCCAACTTTGACTTTAATTTCAAAGATTTGAGCCGCATCTCGAGCTTTGGAGAAGGTCTGTCTAGCATCATCCCATATATCCTTTGCAGCGGAAAGGAACATAAATGTATCGCTAATTTTTGGAGTCATGGAATTTCACAACCATGACATAATTATGGAGTCTGCTTCATCCCATGCCCCAAAAGTAGGATCTCCTTGTTTTAGTCATCCTCCAATAAGATGGTGTATTTTTCCTTTCCCCTTTAAATAGGTCTTCACAAATTGAGACAACTTTAGGTAGTTCTTCCCATTTAGACGATAGGAAGGTTGCATGTTTTGGAGATCACCTCGTCCTTGGTGCGCTAGCGACTCCTCATTTTGGTCAATGCTCTGAGCGGAGTTAATTTCTGACATTGGATAGCAATGAAGGCTTCCTAGAATTTTCTTGTTCGACAATAAAGGTCGAGATAAAAGGATATATTTTTTTTTTCATTTTTTTCTCCGGTTTTAGTAAACCGAACTGAATTTTAAAGGCTCGAATCGAGCAGCACGGTGTGGGCTTTTTCCGCACGCGTCAATCGCTCCCCTTATGGCAGCGTCTAGAGTCGGCGTCGGCAAGGCAAGGCACGGATCGAGTCACGGCTAGGGTACGGTCTTCCGCAAGGGTTCATCTTCGGCACAACTTCGTTCGTCCGGCGTATCCGAGCGAGACTGGAGAAGGAGCGTCCGAGCCCCGTCTTCAAGCAGTTTCTTCTTGTCTTTCGACGTCTGAGAGACCGTATTCTCCCGAGTGGCTTCTACCTGAGCTCGACCGAGAGATACAACTAGTGTGGCTGAGAGTCGAGCGGCCCCTCTTGCGTCGAGGCTTCGGGTTCGTCTTCCGCTAGGCTCCGGTAAGACCTCTTCCCGCAAGCGGCTTCTGATTTACTTCTTCATCTTCTTTTTTCTCCTTCGGCGATCTTTCTTCCACGACAATGAAGGCCGTTGGCTCTGATACCATGTTAAAACTAGGAATTTGAGAAGAAAAGTCTTACTTTATTGCATAAATTCTTCCCTATATATAGATATATACAAGATATCTAATAAGGAAGCAAATAACTACATAATAATGAAATATAACTCTTCCAAAAATCGGCTGCCCATCCATGGATGGTGTTTCAACTTGATTCATGAGAGCTTCCCACGGATTGCTCTTTATGACTGTCGGATCCTTTGCGAGGAACGGCTGGATTCTAACAAAAAGTATTCATTCAAGTCTATATTCTTGAAGTGTTTCTTTGTTGAAATTCTTTCATAAATCCATCCTAGATCATCAATCAAATAGTAAGTTTTTATCATGCTTCCATCAATTAGCTCTATTTTTGCTGTTCAAAATATTTTTGTAAGTAATGTGCAATACTTAGATACCTTAGTTTAGGTGCTTGTGAACTACTGTAGCTTTTTCATATTAAAATCAAATTAGTGTAATTGGTGATACATATTAGAAGTATCTGAACACGAAAGACAGGAATTTGCTGCAAAACGTAGAAAGGAAAAACAGTTTTATAAGATTAACCCCTCTACTGGTAGCATGCAAGATCCGATAGTGATGTTTTGATAATTCTAATGTTTTGATTGCTTTGGCAATAGATCAATGACAGCATTCACTCAGAAAGTTTGATACTGTTAGGTGAGCTCACTACTTAAAAATTGTTCAAAATCCAAACTGAAGTGTTCAGCTGTAATCTGATTCGTGATGCTTTATGTCCACAAATGACAAATGAGTTCACCAGTTGACTTGTCTGCATTCAGCGTTGGCTTTTCAAATTATTTGCTTTTCTTCTCTACCTCTAATTTTATTTTAGTGATTCAGATATAGAGAAATTTTCTTCCGAAGGGGTGAATATTTTCTGCAAGTCCTGCTCAGCCAAGTTAACTAGGCAACCTCTCAGGTAATAATAGTATTGTGTAATGAAGAAAGCCTGCAATTAGGAAATTAATTATCAGGGAAAATCATTCAATTACCACGAAATTCTCTTGTAATCCAGTAACGTAATTATTTAGCCAAGGAATTTATATCATATTGAAAACGTTTAACCATGAATCTCTAATTATCAGTATTCAATTTTTTTTTTCTAATCGGCTACCCATCAAACTTGGTTCTTGTTTTGCAATGCAAAATGGTTCCTCAGTTCCTTGACTCTTTATTAAGAACCAAAACAGTCCTATGTGATACTAGTTTGGTTTTTCTTTAAAGAGCTGAGGGGGCAAAATGGTCCTTTAATATAGTTGGAGACTATTTTGGTCTTTCATAAATAGTAAAGAGATCATTTTAATCCTTTTCTCTTTTGCAGTGTGTTTAGCATTCTTTATTTGTTGAATTTGTGACATTTAGATGCTCTCAGCCCATTTTGGAAGTTGTTTGTATTTAGATAGCTGAATGCTTACTCTCTTTTTAACCATGCAATCTTTATCTTTGAAGAAAATTTGTAGAAATACCATCAATGAATTGGCAAGAGATAGCTGATAATTGGTTTGGGGGATGTTGTTCATTTGGAAGTGTAAGTGAAAAGTTGGTGTCTAAATACTTGGATACTTTTGATTGTAAAGAGGGAACGTGTCTGTTAGATAGAGCTTCAGTTGCTGTCTGCGAGCATGATCTTGAAGGTATTCATTTAATCCTTTGATGGAAATTCATGTATCTTCTAATAGGATATATGATTTTATGTTAATTGATGAACTTTGCTAATGAAAACCATTACCAGAATGCTGGTAATGGGATGATTAACTGATTACTTTATAACACCAATTTGCATAGGTGCCGTTTTGGAAAGAACAGTTTCAGATTTTGGAATGAAATCTTCTGAATCTAATGATACTAGTTCTATGCGTTGTGATTTGGTTTCATCACGAGCATGGTCAGACACTAGTGCACATGAAGTGGATTCATCTTCTAATAGTAATCAGCTTGGTTTGGTTGGAACACAAAATGATATCAACATGGATTGTCTGAAGGCTAATCTTAATAATTTCTCACTAAATAATGAGAAATCACTGTCAGAGTCTATAGTTGAAAGGACTTCAAAATGTGACTTCCATTGTTGCATCGCTGAGAAAGTACAACATGCTGGTGGAACTGAATATGAAGCTTCAATAGCGGCATGCAATGCCCAACAATCTTTAAAAGTTTATGGAAGTGGTTTTATGGTTACCTCTGCCAATCTTTCAAATGATGTAGAATGCGTAGAATTTTCTTGCAGAAATTGTTCATCTCCCCTTGGTTCATATTCATGTGTACAGGGTACAACTGCGCCAGTAGTTGGTGGAGTCCGATTATTTAAGTGTTACATATCCACTTCTGTTTCTACTGGTGCTCCTGATGATGCATTCAAGTAAGTCTGGATACAACTGAAACGAACTACTTTCATTTATTCACTAAACTTATATGCAACTTTTTATAACAGTGCCTTTGAATGTCTTCCTCTATCTAATAATGACCTTTGATTTTATTTCCCATGTTATTACAACATTATTCAGTTAAAGGTGTTATAATTAGTCCTCGTGGCTTTCTCATGTAGACATGGTTTAAAATTGCGCAATATGAGGCTCTCCTTGAGGCCCGCCTTTGCGCAATTCCAGTAAAAAACGCCTCGATGCTTACGCCTCGAGTTTTTTTATGAGGCTTGCGCCTCAACTTGGTTGAGGCCCGCCTTGAGGCCCGCCTCGCCTCACGCTATATATATTAAAACTTGCATAAATCTTGAAGTAAATGCCCGACATTGAACTCTATAGGAGAGGAGGAAGGGGAGAGAGCAGTTCATCATAATGATGATTCAAATGAAGAACCCCTTAGTGATGACAGTGCTGATGACATATGAGTTCTTATGTGATATGTCATTGCTATTTATTTTTGGAAATTGAAATTATATGTTAATGAAAAGAATACTGGGATTTGGGAAAGATAGAATTTTGAGTTGAACTATATTTCATGTTGTCTTATTATTGGGATATTTTGATTTCACTTCATATCTTATGCTTTTTTATGTTTTATTTTATTCACTCATTAGCATATAAAAAATGAAAAATTTTATCATTTTATGTTTATGCAATCTTTTGATTTTGAGGCTTACGCCTCAAAACGCCTTGAGGCTTACGCCTCGCCTCACAAATGAAAAACGTCTTAATACCCGAATACGCAATTTTAAACATTGATGTAGAGACTACTCTATCAAATGTGATAACTGATAAACCTTATTGAGAAGAAAAGATTATTCTTATACTTGTTATGTGGCAACTCATTCTAATTTTGTAGCCTTTTTTCTCAAAAATTGATATATTTTTGTATTGGTGTGAATTTATTATATCTTAACTATGCTTCGTGTTTTATGAGAATACCCATGCTCCATGACTCAAGTCTATTTGGTCTGAAAATTGAAGGGCTTCTGCTATCACATGATATAGATGTCTTTGGTTCTTGGGTGCTGAAGGCCTTGATAATAACATATATAATTTTCTCTTCCTACTCTAGACACAAAACTACTAGCAATTTGAGTTAAAGAAGTCTTCATCATCCGCATCATTGCAGTTGATTCAAATAACTAGAGATGTCGGTCAAATGCAATATTAATTTATGAATATCACTGGGCACGTGGCCTAGTGGTATGGCTCATACCTTTAAAGTCCTCCAAAGAAAAAAGGTCAATCTATTTTAGTATTTTATATCTTTGTATGTTCTAACCAAATTTATTTCTATTTTTCTATAAATTTATTTGCTCAGAATCTCAGATTTCAATCAATTTAATTGAATTTTTGTTATTTGTACATCCTTTACTTTGTAGGGTTAGTCTACTTTCTTTCTTATGGTCTCACTGCTTTTATTGTTGTTCTATCACATTGATGGTACTGGTTGTAAAATGCCAGTATTCTGCACACGCAAACCGGCATGTTTTGTTTGTTGTCGATGGCTGATGGATCCATTTCATTAAAATTGAAATGTGGTTCACCACAAAGCGCACCTTTACATAAAATTTAACTGGATCAATACTTATTTGTACTGTTAAGTGCTTGAATTAACATCTCTTTTAAAACATGATGCATCGTTCCTATTGGGTGGAGTATTAGGTCTGATGAGACTAGAGTTTTTGTTTTTGAGTAGGACTTATACACTGGAAAGTATCTTTACAAATCTGCTAATTGAGGGAGCGCAAGAAGAACTATCATTCCGTACAATGGTATGTGATCTGAGGACAAGGTTCCCCATGCTACAAATTGTCCTCTTAAATTCAAGAGCCTGGTGTTGCTCTGGCCATTGCTACGAAAATGCTGCAACAAGAGGACTTCCTGCGATACACATGCAACCTGTGGTTAAGGTTCTTTTTTCAGATTGTAGTGCTTCCACAGACGCCAATTCAGTGTAAGTTTGACGTTCCTCTCTTATAATCTAAATTCAATTTAATATTGAACTTTATCATAATGCATCTTCTACCTAAGTTATCGGATACATTGATTCGAGGCTATAAAAGGAAGCAAGACATCATAGTATTAAATTTTCCTATTTCTGCGTCTATGTAGCCAAAAATTACAGCAACATTAAACTCAACGTCCAAGTGAAATCGCTCTGAAGCATTATCATTTAGGCCACAACTTCTTTTCTCATTCATATGAATGGCTTCATGTACCTATTTGTAGATTATTTACTGTTGGTGTGCCTATTTGTTTTACACATTTATTTTTGTTTACAGAGTTGCTAAGGATAGGTCAGTCCGGAATGGTACTGAAGAAGTGTACATGATGAATCGTGAAATAGAAGGACTTACAAGATCATTAAAATCATCAATTGCTAAACTGCCGCATTCATGCTCTTCATTGCAAGGAATGTCTCTGTCATTCCTAGGAAGGTAAGAAAAAATTATCGTCTGCCTACATGTTATGTAAATCGTAGGGCTGGCAGAATTTATTTGTTACCATTTTAAATGATTCGATGCACTTCATCTGTCATTATTTTTTTGACAAAGAACTCCTTGGTCAAGCATTTGTTATATATATATATATATATATATATATATATATATAAAGATGTAGATGCTTACTAGAAGGACTAATTATGCTAAGCAAAGGAAGCCAACTAATAATGTTTATTAGTAGACTTAAATGGATTCGTAACTTTTAGTTGAGGTTGATCGAATTCACTAACATTTATTAATATTATTTGTTAGAATTCAAATATTTATATAAATTAATGATTGATATTTTCATCATATTTATACTTCTAATAATATACAGAGTTTTTAAAATTAAAAAATAGAAGAACCCGAGCCAAAAAGATAATAAGAAGTTATCAAATAAACAAGTTAATGACTTTTGAATGAGCATTTTATCAAAATTTAATGAGTTATTGTTAAAAAATAAATATTTTTGTTCATGAATATTGAATCTAATGTTGTTAGTGGTGTTCCACTAATATCTTACTGTAGATCATGTAATTCGTAATTGTCTTGAATGCATTTTGAAGCAAAAGTTCTAGAATTATTTTTCAGGCGAATGTGTAGAAATCTTTAGTGCATCTCAAGCATTAACCCTAGAGTTTATTTTAGGAACCAACGCCGGCATAAACAACAGTCCCAATGATCGTCTTAGGTGAACTTCAGGCAAAGCTTAATCAATTGACGTTAATGTGAAATGACTAGGGTTATGCTTTAGTTATTAAGGACTGTTAAGATCAATTAGGAATGCATAAGTAAAACATGATCACTTGGAGCAGCTAGGGTCAAATTTGGTCATGGGTGGGGTCAATTATGACCATATTGCCTTAATTATAGCAAAGATAAACCTATGATTATTATAATTAAATTAGTCAGGTTCCACTTGGATTGATTGGGCAAAGCAAGCAAGGGCTGGCTTTGCTTGTACAGGTTTTTAAGGGACAAATTATCTTTCAGGATTTCTAGGGATAAATGAATATCATCAAAAAAATAGGATATCCAAATAAGTTTCCTGTAAGTGGGAGAGGGAGAGCCAAAGAGCAAGAGTAATGGCGGAGTGAAGTTTTTAGAGTTCCTTGCGACTATAATTTTAGTTGGCACTTATTTAGGCATCATATATGTTATCCTTATCAAGGGTTTTGGTGGCACATAATTTTATAGTAAAATTATGCTTACTGTAATGGACATGGTACACTGATCGAATTTTAAAATGATTAAGAAAACTTGAATTGTCCAGAAGGGTTTCTAAATAGAAAGAAGCTGACTGTTGGTATTTGAATGAGGAAGGAAATTGGAAGGCAGAGTTTCTTTTGGAGTTATAGAGCTGTCTCTTTCTGCTTGGGAAAGGAACATAATTTCAACAAAATTCTTAAAATGGTTGAAAGTGGGGTTATTTAGGCATAAGCTAGAAAGTGTTTGATGTTTAATCTAATATACATAATTGTGATCAAATCAATATTGAATCTTCACATGAATCTAGCAGGTCTTTAAGGGAACTTGGAACGAATGTTCACATTTCTCAAGAGGAGCAATTTCCAAGAAGAAAAAAAGTTGACCAACAAGTTGTTCGACAACATCTCTCAGAAATTTAGTCACTCTCCTTGCAAGGCCACCATAGTTGAACTCGCCTAAATAGAATCATTTCTAGAAATCGCATGTCCAACTAATCTTCCAAAGAGACTGGTCTAGATAAATTTGAGCCATAGATGTCACTTGTCCCAATAGCAGTCGTTCATCAGCGGACACTCTCTATTATCAAAGTTACTCGACAGCCATTGATATCATCTTCCCAACCATAGGAAATCCACACACCACAAAAGCTACAATTACAATTTGTGAAACCCAACTTTGATCATGTATGTCACATTTGACTCAATTTAAAATACACAATCTCAACTTATACGAAATTTAACAAATTGTCATTATTGAGTTTTACTCGTCAAATGGAGCATTTTGATATATATAAATGTGAAGTATTTGAGAGTTAGAGAATTTAATCTAAATTATATTTTTCCCTAAATTAAGAAATTGGATTATTGTTTAAAAATTAAAAGCACTGTAGCAAGGGTAAAAAATTTTAACAGGTGGCTTACATTAAGAAATTTTATTAGGTGCGGAGTGCGGACGGGGTGAGAACCATCCGCACAGACACAGGGTACCAAGCGGTACCCAGTGGTACCGAGTGGTACCGAACAATACCGAGCGCGATTTTATACTAGTGTGCTAATAATTTCTCGTTTGGGAAGGGGGTGTTCGAATTAGAAAAAAAAAAAAAACGTCGATAAAGAACCAAACCATGATCTTGGACACGTTCTCTTCACGTTATAGTTGAACTGCTCTCTGAGTCGTTTAAATGAACATGAAAATAGATGAAGGAAGGTTATGCTCTCTTACGCAGTTCAGTTGAGAACCTCGTTTGTTTCGGAGCCCTCATCAATCTGTTGCAATTCTCTACCTCCTGTTCTCACATGCGAGCTGAGTTCTACCCCGACACTTGCACCCACCCGACCCCACACCACTTGAAAGTTCGTTAGGGATGTTAAGCCCTATAGAACTGGCCCAAACTAACCAAGAGAGAGGTGAATTGGAAAACTATAAAATTAAAGATAAAATTCCAACCAAAATTACCACAAACAAAGTGCAGAAATTAAATAAATACGGAAGCGATAATTAGAAAAGAACACCCCGAATTTATAGTGGTTCGATCAAACTTTGACCTACATCCACTCCTTAGAGGCACCCTCATTTCATCCATGATATACATATAGAACATGTCTTCATGTTAATGTACACATATACATAAACCAACCCCCATTTCATCCATGATTGGATGTCATAGAACCCAAAAAGAAATTCGAGAGATAATAACAATCTGCTGCCAAAACAGCCTCAGCATATGGCAAAGAATCAAATATTTGGCTTCGTTTGGAATAGCTTTGTTCGTGCTTCTTAAAGCAACTTTTTAGTAAAAAAATTAAAACTTTTGTACTATTAAGTACTTTTTAGTAAAAAAATTAAAACTTTTGTACTATAAAACTACTTTAAGAAGTAATAAGAAAACCATCCCAAATGAAACCTTAGTACTAGTGTCACCTCCCTCTATGATCAATTCAAGGAAAATGAAAAATATTACTTAAATAAATAAAAAATAAAATTAAAAAAAAAAAACTAAGGTGACATCGCTAGAAGCAGAAACAGCTGCTTGCTTAAGCAGTATGTCTTGTATATTATCTCTATTATAACCTACATGAGTTTGATCCAGACTTCCATTCTTCCAGCAGCCGCTTCATCAAAACCTCAAATTTCTCTGCATGTGGTCCGGGCCTGACCGAATTTACATTCTTCCATTGTGAGCAAGGATCAGAAAACCAACTCCTCTTTCCAGAGCACCAGGCACCTGGAGTTACCCAATGGTATTTTCGATGGAGAATTTGTTCGTCGATACTATCAAGCACCGCATCATCTCCCCGAAACTTCCTTGAAAATGGCACTCCACTGGCACACATTTTTTCAAAATGGGAATGGTTTAGAAACAGAGGCTCCATCTGAGGAGGATTATCCCATTCCATATACCTAAGGTCATTGTTCACTGTCTTATTGTGGAACTCCACGGAGTTGCAGACAACCGACTGAAAATAGGCTTCTTGGGACAATATTACATTTGTGAAGTACAAAAGGAGCATTCTAGGAAGATTGTCCCAACCTAAAATACAGTACTCTAAGAAGGATCGGCTAAGAATAACCCATGGGGAACCTGTAAGATCCAAGACATCGTAGGATGAAACCAAGAAATAACAACAGACTAGATTAATACAGGAACTACGAGCGTCCAAGGCTTGCCTGTGAAGAATTTGAAAGAATCTGGGGTCTTGCGCTTCTCGGAAGCCTGGAAGTATTGAGATCTTTTTGATAAGTAGATGCCTGCATCAACTATTATTGGTTGCACCCTCTGAGACCTGCATGAATTCAATTGCATTAGGTTCACATCGAAACTAAGGGCGAAATTTTCTTGAGAAGACTAATATACCAAATTGAAAGCATCAGATAAAAAATGAAATGTTTACATACTCTTTCCAACCGAGGTCACTTGTGTGATCAATGAAGTTAAGATCTCGTGGCATGGAGGAGAAGACATGGATCAGATCTGGAAAGAAAAAAGAAGCTGTTTACTCAGATGAAATTCTTTTTTTTGAAACTAGGTTAGATGAAATTCATTAAATATAAAAAAAATGTGTATATATCCTCCTTTTTTTTCAAACGGATTAGACTATGTAAATATTTTCACATTTGTTAAAATATATATATCCTCACCATCAATCCTAGTTAAAAAGCTAGAAGACAATGTTATGCAAATATGTGGCAGATAATGCACAGATAATGCTAACAGCTAAACAAAGGCAGAGGAAGCAAAGCATCACGTTCCAATAAATATTTTGAGCTGATAGACAAATGCTAGTCCTGCACAAAATAAAAGGAAATCCCAAACAGCTGTGACGAGATTGACTGTCCAGTGATAATACTGATGAGAACAAGATACATAACAATCTGGGCGGCATCATCATCTTCATTTCATATTTCTGAACGCTCCATAAAAAGGTGACATTTGAAATTCCATAGCATTCCTCGGTAAAGAATCCCTTTCAAGTTTTTGAGGCTTTCTGTATTTAGGGTTATCTTGTAGCTAATTTCTTTTGCTTGAATATTAGGGTTATCTTTATTCTAAATTAAGATATATCCAAATTTGGATTAGAATTGAGTTCAATTTGTATCTTGTAGCTAATTTCTATAAATAGATTTTATGACTAATAAATAATCATTGAAAAATTAATTAAAATCTGACGATTATCCCTTTTTATCTTGCTCCTAACTGGGCTCCCCCCACCCACGCTCTCTGTCCCTCCCTCCCATTAAGTCCTCTCTTGATATTCTACTCCCAATCATAACTTCTCTTACTCCTGCCCTACTATCGATCACAAGATCAACATCACAGCCTTGATCCTCATTTCCTTTCGGATGAAGGTTCACTACTTACTGTAGACACATCCAAGATCCCGGCTCCCCATTGTTTCCTTCCTCTTCCTCTGGGACATCTACCTCCAAGCAAAAACAGCCGCCTAAATGCAATCCTAACAGCCGTCAAAATCACTTATTCTCACCATGTTGTCCACCATCTTGAATCAGAGTATTCTTCTTCATAAATCAGTAAGTCTTCAAGCATGATCATCCAAACCAGTTCAAGTGGCACCTCAAACATTCAGCTGTACGATCTCATAGCCAGCCATAAAAAGTTGCTTATGCAAGTATAGCACCGATTGTTGTGTAAATACCACCAGAATGTCACTGTTGGGAAGAATGGGTTACCAAGGGGTTGTTAGCATATTTTAAAGCATCGTAGCAATACTAACTATTTATAAATTGCATTGAAGACCTACTTATTATAAGGGAGACAGTTCAACCTAGAAATAAAATTATTTAATAATTTACTGAGGAATGCTGGAATATGGAAGCCTTCTTCCATTTCTTGACAGTCAAATAAAACAACTATAGTTAAAATTTGAACATCACACCAGCCTGTGCAGTAGCTCTGTTGTTAAATATGTCACCGTACTTATAAGAAACACGACTATTAGTAAGCTTACTATAAAAAGACTGGCGCCAAGTAGCTCGGCTAAGATTATGCAAGTTCCTCCAACCTAATTAGGGCAATTATAGGCTCCTGAAAACTCATTCAAGATTAATCGAAGAAAAAAAAAAAACAATATAAAAAAATAATAAGCATAATGCCAGGTTCTAGAAATAAGGTAATAATCTTTGCTTATAAATTAATTGAAGTGCATAAACAAAAAAATAGAAGAAAATCTCTAACTCAAAGGTCATTGGCATTCATAAAGAGTCTCATAAAAACAATAATCCAGTATCACTGATAAAATTATTTGAAAGGCAACCCTCAACATTTAGCCAGACTGCAAAAATATTCTAGTAAAACCACTAAAAATATCGTGTCTCCTCTTAATTGACTGAAAGAAGCCTTGTTGTGTCCATTAAACTAACTCCGGCATAAGCATTTAAAAGAAATTTTAGTTGATTAGAAGAAAACTTTTGAGTAGCAGTTTAAGGCCACGAATGTGCTGTTTTTGTATAAATATTTCAAATCCTATGAAATGCTTAGTCTTGGCATCTTTGTTCATAACGAAAAACCTTCATAATGTTTAGTAACTTGTTGCAGAACTATTTGGCAAGAGCCAAAGTTATACAATATCACAGATTTTATAATGAAAAAAAGATTATGTAAACCCAACCGCATTTATCTGTCCATTTTTTATTTTTAACTGATTTCTTGTCTTCTGTTAATATATGAGAACCTATATGTACTTTGGCATTGACCAAAATGACATACCAAACTTTAAAATGTAAAAGGTGATTGTTAAAGAACAGATTATGCAAGACAAAAAATAATCCAGAATTTTCAAGTATTTTAAAACTAGTTTTAGGATTTTATTTCAGTTTTTATTGTATTTAATTGGTCTATTTTTATTTTGAATTAGATGATAGAATTTTTAGGATTTATATCCCTCTCTCTCTCTCTCTCTCTCTCTCGTGAAGATTTTTTTTCTCATGGGAATTTTGATTCCTGTGACTTTTCACAGCCCCTCTCCTCACAATGGCACAAAAGCAAAGAAAAGAGCATTATCAGTTTACTCAATCTCTTTTGGCATGAATCCAAAAGCTTCCTCACAGTTTCTTATCTTAGTCTATATTATATCCTACCTATATTATTTCAACAAAAACTTTATTCTGTCTCATCTAATGGCAAATCCAAGGGAGAATAAAGTAATTCCAAGGAAATTTAGAGAGAAGAGGATGGTCAATGATGAGTTTATCCACATGAGTTAATCCATCAAATCAAATATTTTTTTACTGATATCAAAGTCAAATTTCTTGAAGGTAATTGTATCTAAACCCAACCAGATATTCATTCCTTACTATTACCCATTACAGAACACGGCCAAATTCTGCAAAAACAGGAGTGAAAAGAAAAACAGCCAAAAACCTTAATCCTAGTCGTAAGTTTTATAAATTTTTTGTACAAAATGCATTAATTATGCCCTCTAAGATACATCTTAAACATAAAAGCACTTGGGTGGACCTAAAAAATTCTTCATACCCACAGTTGAAATCAATGCTATGAATTTATTGTCATGTTTCATCAAGCTCATAGACATGTAAGTTTACAACATTATTTCAAATATGGTTCGTACATGTGTGAAATATATGCTATATAATACATCATATATCAGGCCAATTAGTATCAGAGAAGTTATGTCCTATAATGAATGGTTGAAATATTGTATGATGCTATTAGATGATGCAGAAGTATAGAATAAAACTCTAATGATTGCACATAAGATCATAATTCTTATTCTTCAATATGATAATATAATGAGCAACAGTACAATAGATCTTATGTTTACAAGAAGTCATATTGCAATTGTGATTCTCAAAACACGCCCTTAAGATTGAAGTGGGCATTGCCAGAAGTCCACAGACAATTAAATTGTCAATCAGACAACTAGGGGTCACGATTAGAAGGTAGAAAATCTAAATCATTGGATGTTGATAAGGATAGTATGTTAAGCATTTCCGACCGAGCTTAAATGGCCAACCATCTAAAATTAAGGATGAATTTTAAATTCAAATTTGTTTAATATAAAAATTGTTTTTTATTTAACTTGTAAGTTCAAGATAGAGTTTCTTTTTTTTTTTTTTTTTTGGGGGGGGGGGGGAGGGGGGGGAGAGATAAGTATATCTTCCAATTTATTTTACTAGTGCAAGTTTCGCTATAAAAACCGCAAATTCCTATAATATAAGTCAAATCTCATAAAATCATTTATATATTTCTATTACATAGCCTTTCTAAACCATTGGATTGTGATGAGGACAGCAGGGTAAGCATGACCGACTGAGCTTAAATGACCAAACAACTAAAAATAAGGATGAATTTTAAATTTCAAAACTGCTTAATATAAATTCATTTTTTTTTTTTAATTTTAAGTTCAAGATAGTGTTTCCTTAAATTGTGGGCTTTTTTTTTTTGGGGTAGTTCAGGAAGAGAAAAATATAGCTTGAATTATTTAACTACTAATATTTCCTATAAAACTACAATTTCTTATAATATAATTCATTCAACTCCCCTAAAATCCTTTCTATATTTTAGTCACCACTCCTAAGGGTTTAGTTTAGGATGAGATAAATATAACTTGAATTATTTAACTACTATAATTTCCTATAAAAACTGCAAATTCCTATAATATAATTCAGTCAACTTCATAAAATCCTTTCTATAATTTAGTCACCACTCCAACAGCACATCCGCCCCCTCTTTTTTTTTTTTTTCTCAATCCATCCAGCAGCTTCTCAGCATTGCTTCTATCGCCGTCAACCCCTGCTGCTGCCAGGCCAGCCGATGTCCAGACACCTCCAGAGTATAGATCATGCCAATGGTTGCTGCTGCTGCTCTCAGAAGCTTCCCAGGCACTACCTGGACCCTGCAGGAAGGAGAAACTATCTCCAAACTGCTCTTTACAGCAATTCTGAAGAAGAAAAACCAGTTGCTGTTGCTGTCCTATGGAGAAAGAGTCAAATTCAGGGAGCAGACTTTCTGAAAGCATAAGAAAACAGGCAAAAATCAGAGAGTGGGAAGCACCAACGGGCACACAAACAATGCTTGAGGTACATTTAATTGGTCCATAGATAATTAAAGAATCTCCATAAAAATTCCTAAAATTCGAATCATTCTAACCTCTTAATGGGGACTTGCATCATAATGTCAAGAGGCTAGCTACGGATCATAATGTCTCACAACATACTATTATGCATAAAGGCATCAACTCTTTTCACATCACTACTGTTATCTCACTTACACTTACTAATGTATGTTGCATGCTATATTTAATTGTAAATGCCATCATTGTCATTCTTAGGAATCTTTCTCGCCCTAAAAAATCCAAAATTTACTTAACTATTCAATGCCATCTTTTAGCCACATCATTGAACACACTAATTACTAAGCATGATTTGCTTATGCATTCTATGCCTGTTGACAACATCTCTAAGCATGATTTTCAAATTTTATGATTACATGCTCGTCAAGTGGCCCCAAATGTTTAGGAAGTGAATGATAAAGAAAGAAGAAAAAAAGGAGGAAGATGCTCTACCACCTAAGAAAGCTAAGAAAGGGAAGAAATCTTAGCATCCTAGCCAACTACAACAACAGATGTCATCACCTTAGCTAGTACGATATTATGGCATTACTGTCATGTTTCAAAAACTTAGTGACAATCAATAACATATTTTAGCAACTTCAGTCAAATTAGGATAGAGAACTTTGTTTTCTTGAAAGAATCAATAGAAGGAAGCATGGGGAGCCATTGACTAGTCCATATCAATCTCTTGCTAATGATATTAATGATGACAAAGTATCTCCTATTTTTTTAATAATATTTGGATCTCTTTTTCAGAGGGAGTAGGATATTTTAAATTGAAGATGCTAAAAGGAGGAGTAGGATATTTTTAAATTGAAGATGCTAAAAGGAGGAGTAGGATATTTTGAGATGCTATAGCTTTGATAATTTTGTTCCCAACAAAAATTATTTTAACTTTTCTTTACATATATGTAATCATTCAGGGGAGTTTTTTGTGAATACTTCTTATCATTTCACCAACATATGTGTGGTATCAAAAAAAATGGGGAGTTTCTTGAATTCCATGAGACAGCCTGGTTCATGAGCCCATTTTAATAATAATAAATATATGCATAGAGGTTGCTAATGTTTTGAAAAAATATATAGCTCATTTGGGACATGTAAATTGATTAAAGCATCTAGTGAGAAAAATAAGAGTGTTGTTAAATGCCCTATTTCTAAGTTTAGTTTGAATTTGAATATGATGTAATACAAGTTTTATTACAAAACTTGGATAAAAAACTTTGAGAATGATGAACACCATAAAATGAACAAAATTAAATCTGGCTTTATAAATATATTTTAAAATATTTATTTACTCTTAGTGTTACCATACACTTATATAGAATATCATAAAATTAACATTTCCTTGTTGTGCAAAATATAAAGTTGACGAAACCATATGAAGGCACACAAGACAGGATCTTGTGAAGTCTAGGAGTTTTGATCTTGGAAAGAGATCATACCTCCTAGGGCACATAAAGGGATTGCATGACACCTACAATTTTGAAAGGCAACAATTAATTTCAAGGTAATGGCTCAATGGTTTAACTAGGTATTTGAGGATCCAAGGAATGATGGGGGTAGGGAACGAAAACATGCTTAGTTCCTTGATCCAGTCTATAAATGCCAATTAAAGTGCACATATTAAAACCTAATCTAATGTACTCAAAAGCTACACACTTTTAAAATAAATCCAGGTATACAAATCAAGAGTGTTCTTGAAGCTTGAGATGATGGAATTGAAGCGCTGAACATTTCTTAGTTCTACTTTTACTTCGGAATTTGGATATGATGTAACAGAAGTTTTATTATAAACTTTGATCAAAAGCTAAAAAATGATCAACTCATGCAATGCACTCGAAGAGGAGAAAATATATGCAAGGAGTTTAGTTTTCTGTTTTTATATTTCTATAGTACTTTGTTCTTCTATTTTGTTACCTTCTTGGAGAGAGAGCTTCGTTATAAGAAGGTGATGTCTACTTGCCCTAACTGAGAGGGTAGGTCGTGCAATATTTTTCCACTAGTTGTAGAAGCAAGGGAAGGGTATGGTGGAAGAATCTAAAGCAAAGATGCTTACCTGTGTACATATATGTATACATAGACAATTGGATTGAACCATGTAAAAACCTTTGTTTTTTCTTTCATTAATTTCATACTTCATTTTATTTGTGACATCTTCGCTCACGCTATGATCTTTTTCTACTCACTCGTGAGTTGACCACTGTTTGTAGAAATTTGAAAATTTCGAAAACACCCAATTGACCCCCTGTGAATGACATACCATGAAAAGCAATTATCTTATAATTTTTAATACAAATATTTTATGATTTGATCAAAATGTAAACCTATTTTGTGCATGTGCCTAACACTCCTGCTGTATTTTGCACCATGAGCTCCTGATTCAATTATTTTCTTTTTTCATTTCAATTGATTCTCAACATATTAAGCTGCTATGAATTTAATAGACAATTTTCACTAATCCAAAGTTTAGACAACCATTGCAATCATTGACACGCTTCAACCATTCCACCAAATCAATCAGAAAAACCTTTTTTTCTTTCCTTCAAACAATTAATCACTTACCATCCTGCGTGACGAGCGGATAATCTTCAGCAGTAAGTGTCACGAACCAATCCCACCCTTTATCCAACCGCAGAAGAACTGCAGCGGCATTCAGTGTCGCCGCAAGCCCGGAAGGCCCCATGTACGTCATCGCGCCCGCTTTCCCCACTACGTCGACGTTCCCGAACGCCCTAATCGCCGGCACCGCCAGCTTAGTCGCCGATGCCAGCGCGGCACGCTCTGATTCAGGCGCATCATGCGAGAGGTGGAGAAGGTATCGATTCCTCGGGTGGTAGACGGCGAGTAGTAGCCGGAGCATTCGGCGGCCATCTCCCCGGGCGCCAGATATGTAGTAGGCGAACGATGGCGGGTGGCGCCGCCCTTGGAGGACATAGGCAGGGTCTGGCAGGCGGGAAAAAAAGGCGGACGAGGCGGTGAAGCCGGAGATGGCGGAAAGAAAGAGTAGAACAGTAACGAATGAGACGGAAATAATGGGGAAAAGCCACTTCTCTGCCGCCATGCCGCAAGCGAATGCAGGTATTAGGGCTAAAGAAGTTCAGAATCAGTAAGGATCGCGGCGTGCGGAGTTTGAGGCTTGGCCTATAAAAGTTAGGGCTCTCCTGGATCTCGTCGCCATGGCTTTTTCGTGTAGTAGGTTCAATGGTTGGAGACGATCGGATTTTGAGATCTATTGTCTGCGAATTCCACTCGTCTCTCTCTCTCTCTCTCTCTCCCCACCACCTTCGCTTCCCGTGCAGGCTGCAGTCTCTGTTTAAAAAATTGAACAGTTTCGCAGCTGGGTTAATTTTATCACAAGTTTAGGATGTTATGCTATCACCCAATCCAAATAAACAATATTTAATAGTTAATACACTGTCAATAAAATCGATAGATAAAGATACGTACAAAAATAATACTTTCTAAGCCATTATTTATTTCAAATTCTGTTCAAGATAATTTGATTGTTTGACATATAATTATATATATATTTTAAAATTACGGATTTTTAATTTTAATTTAGGGTTTGGTTTTTAATTTTAATTATTTATTTGGATACAATAGGAAAATAGCATGAATTTTTATTGCTACAAAATAATTCAACATTTATAAGAAAAAAAAAAAACTTCACACTCAAAATAAAATATTTTTATTTTCTAAACAGATTTTTCATTTTTAATTAAACAAACCAACATCTCAAATAGTTTGCAATTTCCCTAATTATTTTATATTGATTAAGCATTTCAACAAAGAAAATAATTAATATCTAATTTATTTAAAATTCGATGAAATCCTTTATTATTATGAAAATTATTGTGTGCATTCTATAAATAACATGCCCTATTGGTAGAGTAGTGATGAGCAACCAAAGTGCTCGAAAGACTGAAAAGAAAGTGTTTGGTTGGAGCCTGAGATATGATAAATGAACAAATGTCGAATACATAAAATATCAAAATTGCTCAATAGAGAGGCCCACACATTATGAGATCAAGCCATGATTAATTTTTTTATTAAATTTATGAAGAATTATAATAGCTATCCTAATAAACCAAAAGAAATAAACAACTACAATAATAACTAAAGAGGTAGGGAAGATATAGGAAAAAATGATGAGACTTGAAGCCTATTGGAGTGCCTTTAAGAATGGAGTTTCTTTATTTCTTATAAGCACTGAAAATAAAATACTCTAAAATTCCTAATAGAAAAAAGCTTGTATGAATTCACCAAACCATCTCAAATAATAAAAAAAACTCTTTTCAAGTTAGGAGTTGTGCTAGTCAGAGTGGGAATGCTAGGTGCAAAGGATGAAACTTCATGATGAGATGTGGCAAGCACATGCATATAAGGATTAAAGTATTAAAGGAGATATGCTGAAAACATTTCTTGAAAAAGAAAGACCATCGATGGTTGCACAGAATAATACCTAGGTGGCAATGTTATTGAGGTACCTAAAAATATTTTTATTTCTTAGAGTCATTATGTGAGTTTTTTAGTGGACTGATTGACCCTACAAACAAATGGTAAATCCAAGAGCCTAAGAATGTGTTTCTGCCATTACAAAAGAGAATTTTGAGAAATGAACTCAGGAAAATTGGCCTCACCAAGTGGATTATGAGAGGAGATTCACATGAAGGACTTGGAGAGCCTTCAAAGAAAATTTGCTTTACACTAAAAAGTTTATGACGAACCCAAAAGTATTCACCAAGTTATTTGAATTATTCAAAATTGGCGTATGCATTGTTATGATTTTATAGATAATATTTTAGTTTGATCAATAATTTCTCTCTTGATGAATATTAAAAATTCATCTCAATCTGGGTGATAGAAATCTCATTTTCGGGTGTTTTAAAAATAAGAAAATTAGTATAAATTGTTTCTTGATTTACTCGATGATTTAGCTAAAACAATAAGTTTAATGAAAATAAAAATTCATATATAATGCACACCGAGATAAAGATTAAAATGTCATTAGCCAAATGGAACTACATCTAGTATAGATGGATAAAAGGTTTCTTAACAATATAAAAGAAGACTAATATAAAAATATCTCAAACCATTTTAATCTTTCAATAAATAAAAATAGCTCTCAATATATCTCTAAACCATAGCTCAATTGAAGATAAATTGCAAGTATGTAATACAGAAGGCCCTATAAAATTCTTTTATCTTTCAACACAAGTATAGAAATAGATCTCAATGTGCCTAAATTACAGCTCAATTGTAGATTGTAAATAGATCGTGAGCAATAGAAAATGTCTCGAGAAATGTTAACAACAATACTTACAATAAACTCATCCCTAGAGATAAATCGTCATTCATTAATAGTTTACATGTAGATTTATTATCATGCCATTATCAAGATGAGCATAATCATCATAATCTCTTCATTACTTTTAGTAATTATGGTTTTAACGCATTTGAAGTTCATGAACCTCTTATATGTCTTCCTAAATATATAATTTGTGATGTATTTTATAATTAATTATATTAATAATGATAATTGAGATACTCTTGAGATGAATTGTGATAATTGGGACGCTTTCTTGATAAAATCATGTATCTTAAGATTTTCCACCACATCGAAAAAATGAATGTCATTGTTATGTCTTAAAATGTCTTGGCTATGTCTCATTCTTTTTTTTTTTTTCTCTTTCAATGCTTTATGATGGTGTTACACACATGTATGGTTAATATGTTATTTGTCAACTTAATAAATTCAATACATATACATGTTATGATCCAACCCAACACAATCTAAGTATTATAATATACAATCATCATGATTCCTCAATATATTCAATAAAATACATATCTCATGATTACAGAATAATCATTTATAACACTTAAAAGTATACCTTCTAATAACAAAACATCAACCTTACTCCATATGAGCCTTACTCTTCCCTGAATCATGTAAATATAATAAATGACGAGAAATCCAATAAATTACATGAAATCTATAACTTCATTCAATGCTAGGAAAAAATATAATGTACAATTCATTGACTAGAAAAAGTAATATATGCCGAGTAAGTAAATCTCTATGTTATTCATGTATAGGTATCATATATAGTGCTATCATAATTAAGATTAGCATTTTAAAATCATATATCTTACATTTCATGTCAGAACTAGTTTGAGCAATTTATGTCATTATGTATATTAATATATCATCGTATCATATATTTTAAGCAAGTTTATTTTTCTAGCTAATCATATCATATCATATTGTGTTTTCTATGTACTAATCATAGTAGTTAGTTATAGTATCATATTATGTCACATAAGTAAGAATAGTTAAGTGACATGGTACTTGGGAGTTGTGAATCGCAACCCGTTGGCACTCATATTTATATTAAATTCCTCTTATATCTCCCATCCTGTATTTGGTTCACACCATTAAATCATATGTTCGTAATGGAGAACCCTTCAACTCTGTCTTTTGGGTAGGGTTCATATCTATGCTATCCTGAATCATACAGTATAGTATATACAAGGCTAAGGTTAACATTTCTCACATACATTCATTTCATAGCATGTATAGTAAGTAAAAAAGACATGTAAATAAAAACTAGTGATATTTATAAGATTAATTCAAAATGCTCATTTTATAGGTATAACTACAGCATATGAACTATAATAGATAAGCATGCAATCTTTTTGTGTAAACTTGATGTGACAAATATTTTTCGTTTATTTGAATTTATTTGCATTACTCAAATTAAGACATATGCCTCAAAATACAGAAATACATGATAAAAATTCAATATGATCGAGTTAATAGGTGCAAAATCATTAGAATAATAACATACTAAAAGTTATGTAAAGAAAGTTTGATAAATATTGAGATATCATAATATTTGTAAGTTTTGATCGAATTAAAATTTAGAAAACACAAAATAAGTAAAATAATTGAAATTAGAAGAAGGGTAATGGTAGTCTACATATAGCGGAATAATTTTTCTAACTAGTTTGTCTAATGAAAAAACTCTAAGACTTTCAAACCCTAACTTTCTCTCTCATCCCCTCTCTTTTTTTTTTTCTTCTATTTTCCCTTTTCTTCTTCACAATTTAGAAGAATTGCAAAATAAAATGGGATTTAAGAAGTTCTCCAATTTTTGCTAATGAACTTCTTAACATGACAAAAATGTAGTGAGTTTGATGGTAATGTGTTGCTTTTTATGGGTTAAGGAGAATACGTGATGAAGGAGGCAATTTTTGAAGCAAAAAAAGGAAAAAAAAAAAAAAAAAAAAAAGATGAGCTAGGTTTCCCTAAATAACACATACATAGTTGTTAATAAAACTTGGGCTTTATCAAAATATGAGGAGACCCTCATCAATGAAATGATAGTTCCATTTGGATATAATTGGTGGGCTACATTTAAAACGAGTTCTCTTAGAGCAACGACATAAAAGGTTGTCATAAAAAGTGCATTCATTTTTATTGATGAAACTAGGTTTTCATATAAATATGATTATGTCCTTATCAATGAGACTATAGTTCCATCTAAAAGTAATTTGAAAGTTTTTACTACTAAAAATTTCTAGTTTTGCATCCTTATTTATGAACATGAATATGGTAATTGATCATTTTTTAGTAAAACTAAATGATGATTAAAAAGAAGAGGGTGAAGAGTATGTTGTTATTGATCAACCTAATGGCCTTGTATATTTTTTATGAGATAAATTGAAATTCTTGCATCAATTGGCCACTTGAAAAAAATTATTGTAAAAAAAATGCCTCTAAACTACTTAGTTTTTCATTTGAAGTATGATGTGGAAAATGGTGTGACAGTGTAAGAAAAAATGGACCAACCACTAGAGCCTAAAACATGAAGGAAACTGAGAGGATTTAAGGGACAATGACAAGGAGCAAAATGAAAGCTTTCAATTAGAATTTCTACTTTATGTGCGTGATAAATATTGTAAAAAAATTTTGTATTTATGATTTACTTGGTATAGAAATTATTAATAAAAATATAAAATTTAATTTCTAAAATCTTGAGTTTAAAAAATTCAAGATATCTGAAATTTAAAATTTAGATTTTCAAGTCTTGAGAAAATGTGAATTATTTTTAAGTACAAATATTTTATTTGAATTAAATAATTTAAATAAATATGGCCCAAGTATGGCTCGCCAAATGAAGGAATAAGGAGGGGGTAGTTATTTTAGTAGTTACTTTGCACTCTCTCATGGCCAATTTATACTCATTTTCTTTCTCTTTGTGCAATTCAAATATGATAGCATAAATCTATTTATATCT